CTCAATCAAAACCACCTAAAAGCGAGAGGGATTCTGCACATAATAGGCCTCGTGAGTACAAGTAGCTTACTTCTGGGTCTGTTTCATTCAAGCTCTCTGTGGTGGAGGGAGAACTATCTCCTGTCAGACGGAGAGTCTAAGATAACCTCAGCTCAGGTGAAGTAAAGGACTCTCAGTGTTTAGATAGTTAACTTTAGTCTAGTTATCTCAGTGGGTCTCAAACGGTGTGTTTTAAAAGGGGAGTGATTTGTAAAATATCTATAAAGAAATAGAAAATCTGTTTACAGTTCTGTTACATATGTATGTTGAGAGATACTGTATATCCATAGATCTCTTCATTTTGGCTCTCAAAGTGCACCAGATTGATGCTTTTAACTTCAATATTTAAAAAAATGTTTTCCCGGGGGAACTTGCCCGGACCCCACTAGAGGAGGTGAGGACCCTCCTAGAGGAGGTGAGGTCCACTACCCACTTGTAAAAATAGCACTTTAACCCACACCTATATGCCGTGAGCTGATTACCGAGCCTTCATTGTAACAGTCGCGGGTACACTGTGTGTGTGTGTGGGGAGTGTTGCAGTAGAAAATTCAACTGTAGCGCTGGTGCATTAATGGGAAACCCTTAATGTTTGAGCACCCTCTATGAAACGTCAAGCTACCCCACAGCACCCCCTAGAGAAAATCTCTGGCGCCGCCACTGCTGCAAACTGTTGCCGTTGTGATTATAAGTTATTTAAGATGATCAAATGTGCATCAGACTTTCTGCCCTTTACCGTTTGTTTACTCACAAATCACATCTCCCCTGGATGTTAGGCTATTTTTTTTTTTAATACAACTGCTTTCATTGTGAGGCGATGTTTACAGTGAAAACAGCTGCTGTGGTCAGTGCAGAAAGCAGAACAGTGTGTATAATATATATCGCTCAATAATACCAGGCCTACATTTCACACTTTATTTGTAGGCTTTAGGAGATATCTACAAATAAACAATAGATATTTTTCATGAAACCATATAGTGCTTCACATAATAAAATATACAAGGGCTGTAGCCTGATATTTATTATATGCTTTAGGAGCTGTTTGTGTTTGTTCGCGAGCGATAACCATGCAAAACCCACGTGACTGGGCTCGCGCGGCCTATCAGCCGTCATAATTTCCGAACCTTTTCTGTGCTTTTGCCGGTCGTTTTCCCTGTTTTTGGGGTGTGTTTCGGAAGGTTTATTTCAATAGGGTCTTCCCCGACCTCTGGTCTCAGACCCTAATAATAATAATAATAGCAATAATAATTGGGAGGGGGGGTGAGGCTGTGATTATGATTTCCTTGCTCTCACCAGGGTCGGCTCTAGAACAAAATCGAATGGGGGGGCAATCATTTACAAAGGGGGGGCACACACTGCCGTCAACAACCAACACACAAACACCAACGCAACTTCAAAAAACATGCTGTAAAAAAGTATATTGTTTTTCACACATATTGCAGGGGTGTAGTGCTATTGTATAGCGCACCTATGACTTGTGCATACATGCACGGTTGTGGCACGACCACCAAAACAGAAACATATGGACATAGGCCACCATACAAAAAGTGTGCAAATGTATTTAGTATCCTATTCCATGTGAACATGTTTTAGGTGGGGGTGGACCTAACGTCCTCTAGGAGGGTCTGGGGGCATGCTCCCCCGGGAAGATTATTTAAAAAATATTGAAGTTAAAAGCATCAATCTGGTGCACTTTGAGAGCAAAATGAAGAGATCTATGGATAGTCTACATCTCTCAGCATCCATGTGAAACAGAACTGTACACAGATTTACTTTTTCTTTATGGATATTTACTAATCACTCCCCTTTTAAACTGTATTCTTGTGTTACTGTCCTATAGTATGTCATAACCCCGTTTTTTATTTATTCTCATATTCTTTAATAACTATAATGATCATATAAAGGTGTTCCTCGCAAATACTTGTTTACATAAATGGTGACCAAACCGTTTGAGACCCACTGAGATACCTACACTAAAGTAACTACTAATACTGAGAGAGTCCTTACCTCACTGAGCTGAGGTTACGATCCTCTCAGTCTGACAGGAGAGGACTCTCCTCCACCTTGGTGTAGAAAACAGCTCTTTATATCCGTTAGCATAGCTAGCTACCAGATCATGCTAACATCAACATTCCACGTTACCACTTGCGCACTCACAAATGCGCTCGTGCCACACACACACCACACAACACAACACACACACACACACACACACACACACAGAGGCGAGCTTGAATGAAACCAGAGACCCAGAAGTAGGCTACTTGTATTGAACTGTATATCATATTATTTTCGATGGCTTTACTGTATAATCAGTGTAACAGATGAACAGATCGCCACCGGCTTTCAACTAAACACACAGCCACGTAATGATAACAAAACAAAGGTCGGGGGTCATGGTCAGCAACACACCAATCAGAGAGCAGCAGTGAGCACAGCTCAGGCTGTATTTTAAATGTTGTATTCTTTATTTCTGACATATTTCACACAAAAACCTTTAGTGGAAACGTTTTTCACTTATATGTTTTTTTTTTTTTTAAACGGCCGCGAATGACCCCCATGACGCCGACCCTGGCTCTCACTGAGACCTGGATTACTCCATCCAACACATCCACCCCAGCAGCTCTCTCCACAGCATATTCCTTCTCCCATACACCCAGACCCACTGGCAGAGGAGGTGGTACTGGTCTCCTGCTCTCTCCCAAATGGAGCTTTTCCCTCTTCAAGCTACCTAACTTCACTCCTTCCACCTTTGAATTCCATGCCGTCACAGTAAACCCATCCTATAGCAATTAACCATTGTTGTTCTCTACCGTCCACCAGGCGCCTTGGGGGACTTCTTGGAGGAATTAGATAATCTCCTCTCACACATCCCTGAAACTGGCCCTCCCGCTGTACTTCTCGGAGACTTTCAACCTCCAGACAGGGAAGATAGACGAACTAACATCTCTGTTAACCACCTTTGCTTTCTCACTGTCTCCATCCCCACCAACTCATAAAGCTGGTAATGTCCTTGATCTCATATTCTCAAGGAACTGTACTACTTCTAACCTCTCTGTAACCCGCTCCACACATCCGATCACTTCTTCATTTCATTCTCTCTACCCCTTTCCAAACATAACAAACTAATCTCTTCTCATCCTGCACCTGTCCGCCGTAACCTTTGTTCCCTCTCCCCCTCTACCTTGCCTCATCGGTGCTCTCAGCCCTCCCTTCCTCGGACTCGTTCCAACTACTACCTCCAAACTCTGCTGCAGAAACTCTCCTCTCTACTCCTCTCTGGACTCTCTCTGTCCTCTCACATCTCGGCAGGCTCGTCAGTACCCTCCTGCTCCCTGGCTAAATGACGCACTGCGTGCTAATAGAACCATCCTTAGGGCAGCAGAGCGGAAGGAAACGGTGGAAATCCAAACACCATGACGACCCCAGGCCAACCGGCTAACTCAAACATATCCAGGTTAGGTTGAACCAGCTTCGTAGTACAGGCCTCTGGACCAGCAGCACAAGATAGACAGGGGATACTGACAACTCCATAAACTATAGAATATACCTTTTTATAAATCCTGAAATCTGTTGGCTTGAAGAAAACAATCTGTCAAGTTTTGTCAAATTATTTACAATAATGTACAGCTATCGTATAGAAAATTGGAATTGTATTTGATCTGAACATGAACCCTTTGATTAAAGATATCAGAATGAAGATGAACCTTAAAGTAAACACAAACCACATAAAAAATAACCTACACAAGGAACAGAAACAATGAAAATAAAACTATTGCTGCAAAAACATTCAGTTTGAACCTGTGAAACCAAGTAGAAATCCCACAGGGATGGGTGCGACATTTTTGATATGGTTTTTGTTAAGCAGGAGCATTGATTATTCCTTCTTCTGCACTGACTCAACACTCTTCCAGTTGGAACATATTGTTATGGCCTCATAAATGAACATATATCATTGCATAATTGGACAGAGCAGAAAAATCGACCCGGGTGAAACGATAAGCTCGGGTTTTACTGTCTGTAATAAATGTTAGTGCATCCTTAGTGGTTTGAGAATATATACAAACAATAATCAAGTGTTATATTACAGTCATTATAAGGAGGCTCAAAGGAAAAATCAAAAGCACATGTGATTTTAAGGAAAAGTTTAATTTATTATTAACTGTGGATTATTTGTTGCTTCTTCAAATAAAAAAAAGTAATTTATGTATAATATCAAATACAAATCTACTTTTGCTGAACAATAAATACTTTTTTTATACCTACTGAAAAAATGTGTGTTTTCCTTTCCATACATATGTTTTTTAAATATGTTCTTAATAAACTAGGCATACATCAGCTCACACCTGTGTGTGTGTGTGTGTGTGTGTGTGTGTGTGTGTGTGTGTGTGGTGTGTGTGTGTGTGTAGTGTGTGTGTGTGTGTGTGTGGTGTGTGTGTGTGTGGTGTGTGTGTGTGTGTGTGTGTGTGTGGTGTGTGTGTGTGGTGTGGTGGAGAAATCCTTAACAAGCCTCACCTGTGCTTTGTCGTTAAGTGGAATATAAAGCAGCTGCTGATGTCTCAGTTAATCAATCCAGTCCCCTTATTTTAGACTTGTGTTTTTGTTGGAAGGTGTGCTGGACATTGCCAAGCTCTGATACTGACTGTATTCTTTTGGTTTTACTGCTTACAAACTGCAACATGCTGAGGGCTTGGGAACATGTAAGTTACATTTATTGTAGATTTCTTTCTATGTGTGTACTTAATTGTCTCTAAATGATGTGTTTTATGTGTTCAAGTTTGTTATGGATGGCTGCAGCAATCATCTTGTGTCAAGCCAGGCCTAATGTGAAGCTAAATTCGCAGTCAAGTAAGCTTCAATTCTCATTAATCATTTTACACAGCATATTAAGTCGGTTTACATTCTCCTCACAAGCCTTTTCTTTTAACAGGCAGTGGGTTAAGGTCTGACTGTGCCGCAATGTAATGAGCCTGTCGTTGGACAAGGCTTTAGCAGTGGGAAACCAGCTTGAGGTGGAGGCCTATCAGTAAGTATTAACTGCTAATAATGCAGCTGATTGGTTCATCACTGAGGAAAGGGGTCCCTGACAAAGCTTATTTTCTCCCCTCAGATGGCACCAAGCACATTTTGTTAACACCTAGCATGGCTGCTCAGTGTGGATACAGCATGGAGTCTGACCCGTGGGGGTAACACCAGAATCTACACCTCCCTGATGGGCTGCTTTGTGGACAACAAGGTTTGTTTTGAGCTAAAGGGGTTTAACAGCATTCAATGTAATTTTCTACCAAGTTTAGCTGTGCTAATTCTGTCAAGTGACTGAATTAATGGCTCAACAAAACACATGGTTGCTCCCATTTTTGTGTTTCCCTGAATTTATTTGTAACCCCTTACCGTTAAAAGACCCAAAGTACATTTCCCTTTTTGTTTGGTACATCCCTAAATATTAGCACTGCTCCACTCAACTGTATTCCTCAATGAATCTACTAGGTACTTTCTTGACTTGTTTGGTACATACACAAATATCCATTTAGACTTCAAATGTGTCCCTAAGGCAAGGGATATTACATTTCCCAATGACAAAGAAGCTGGAACCAAAGAATATTAGGGAGTTTCACTTAATTTATTTTTTTTTATATTTATAGGATGATGCTACATTTAACGTTGGCTTGAGACTCCAGATGTACGGCGAGAATCCATCAGACGTGGTCAGTCATGATGTGTCTCAGACTTGCATCTACACTCGCTGGGCCTCCAGGGAGCTCCTCTGCGACAGGAACTACATGGAAGTAGGTCATCTTTACATTGATGAGTCCACCATCTTGTGTGTATGGAAACGAATGCTAAAACCACCATTTTCTGTTTTAGGTTTCGCACCACATGGCTAACCTTGATGCTGAAGCTAAGGGTCAGACTCGGGATGGTAAAGACGAGAAGCTCAACGCCAATCTTGAAGTATGTTGAATTAAACTGTTCAGATACTACAGTTCAATTCCTCCCTACACCAATGAGGATTTAATTATTATTTGTTCTTTCCTGTAGGCCTCTGGTGCATCACAAGGTATCTGGAAGATCACGTTTTACACCCCAGAACCAGTGGCCATGGTGTTGCAAGAGGCTGAACAAGCCGGCTACGCTGCCAAAACTACCTCTAGTCGCCCTGGTTATGCGAAGCCCGTACAATACAGCAGAGACTTATTCAGAGGATGTAAGCAACACACTCTTATACAGTGTTTCTTTTCCTTTCCCTCCTTGTCAATTATATTAAACCTCTCCTCTCTTTAGGTGGCTGGAGTCCCCATGGAAGTTTTCAGGGTGAGCGCTTACTACATGGCACCACAGGGTCTGAATGTAGTGAACTTGGCAGCTGCTTGTCCCAAAGGTGAGTCCTGAGCAACATATTTCCTTCACAGTAAGCTTAATTGTTGCACAGTTAACCTCAACAGCTCAATGTTGTCATTAACAGGTGGTGTCCTCTTCACACCGAGGATATGATCTCTTGGCACGTACCTCGCCGTGTGACTCCTCTGTTGGACGGCAGAATGACAGTCTCAGAAATGCACATGGGAATCAACGGGCAGAGGCTTGATAGATCTCAGATGGCCGCACGGGGGTACACACTGAGCACCACAGACTTCCACATCGTCGTCGAGATCCAGTGGGCTCGCCTGATGGTTACTACAAGGTTGGGGAAATCTCTAGATTAGAAATGCAAGAGTCACTAGTGCATTTGCATGTTTTATTGAAATGTCATGAATTATTGCAGAGCCATGCCCCAGATTACCAGTACCACATCACCTACTTTGGTGGAGCCCATGCTTGAAGGTACTGTGGAGAGAAGATGACACCCAAGATGATACCAGATACAGGTTTTTTCCCCATCAGGACCCCTCTGATGCCTCAATCTCCCAAATCCAGGGATGGTAGTCACATTTCTAGTGGTATGAAAAAAAATGACATTTGAACTCGGGCTTGCTCGGATATATCCTAAAGACTGCTAAACCCATTAAATAAAGTCTTCAGTTTTTGCAAAATGGTGTGTTTGGATGGGATTCGAAGCCAAGTACAAAATCTAACTTTTGCTTACAAAGGGCACTTTTTTGTTTTTTTTTAAATAGCACTCAATCCAACTACTACAAATTTTTCTCTATCAATGTTGAGGCTGGTTAGAAGTTTGTAAACCTGCCACTTTCTGTTCCCTCAGACACTATCCCAGAGACTCGGGTGTTCAGCGTTCTCTTGGGAACCTTCCTCCATGACGTTGAGCTGAGGAACATCACTTCTCCACCGGGGGTCCTCACTGTTGAGGAGAGCAATGCCAAAGGCCTTCACAGTCCAGGAACACAGCTTGGCTAATGGCTCCAAGAGCTTCTCTCTTCAAGTGCCCTTTGATGCCGATGTTGTCTTAAAACATGTATGACATTATAGATTCAAATATCACTTTGTACCAGCATATTTTCAGTGTTGCTGAGCTTTTATTTCATTTGTTGCAGAATCCTGAGCGCTTGGTTACATCCTACTCTACTTCCTCCCTCTGATCTTTGGGTTGATCGTCCTGCCTGAAGAAACTCCTTTTGCTCTCCCCACCCGGTCGACCTGCAGGCCTCTCTGCAGGGATATTGGTGAGATCATATTGAATTTGCTTTTGACAATATCTTCATGCAAAATTGTGTTTTCTAAAATTAAATAAATATAATATATATATAATACTATAAGAGTAAAAGATACACAATCAAATGGATAATGCATGTTTTGCTGCTCTAGTGTTACCCATCATGGCTGGCACCTGTGACCAGAACCAGTTTTACATCAAGCGTGAAGTTCGGGAGTCACGGCTCTAATTTCAAGGCTATCGTTGGACCTCGAGAGCTGACGGCTGAGATGGCTGAAGACTACAATTTTCTATGAGAACGGCACACACCTCAGCCTCATTCTGCCATACACTGCCAAGGACGCTGTTTTCGAGGTATGTCAAAACTACAAAATCCCACCATAGATCTTCTGCATTGGCTAACTTTACTTTCTTTTCCACAGCTGCTCACTGCAGAATCAGTCAAATCCAGAATTGACCTGCTTCTGTTGGATCGTGCAAACGACTGGGTGCTTGCTGATCTCTATCTGGCTTGCTACTTCCCCTTAAAAGCAACAGGTAAGATGGAACATGTAAGTATATTTGCTGCTTTAATTGATGGATTTGTGTTGCTTTACACATTGCCTGCTTCTTCTTCCAGAGTGCCACCCCAATGGCACAATGACCGCTGTGGCTGTGAAGGTTGAATCGACTCGTAATCTGAAGCCAAGTCAGCTGACGCTAAAGGACCAGTCCTGCACACCACAGTTCAGCGACGATCGCGTTGCATATTTCTCCTTCAGTGTGGATACCTGTGGAACCACCAGAACGGTGAGTGTGAATCACATTTAAATATCAAAAGGGTTTTTTGTCAAATGTTAATGCGTTTTTGTTGTTAAATAGTTCTTTGACAACTACATGATGTATGAAAATGAGATCCGCCTGTCTTACAACAACGCCAAAGGAGCAGCCAACACATCACCAGTTGATCCTGATTACAGGTAAAATATTTGATTCTGTATAATTGGAGATGAACACCTTCAATGTATGCATTTATATTAGGGATGCACGATAATTATCGGTCCGATATTAGGAATTATGACGTCATCCCGATAAACCAGATACCAGTATTAATAGCCCCGATAATATACAATATATTTTTTGGGTAGAAAAAAAATACCTGCGGTGTGGATTGGGATGAGGGGCGCTTGTTTTTTACTCGGCTCCTCCCGTTTTGCCAGTACTGTGGTTTAGGAAGAGGGGAGTTCTTCACAAATCCAGCGCTCCCTAACTCATGCCTGGCTGTGACGTAAATGTGGTGCGGCGTGAAGCCAGGACAGTAAACAAACATGTCGTCGGTGGTATGGGCGTTGGAGCTATGTGCAACTCAAGGCATATGCTCGAACCGGAGCTGCCTGGACGCTGCAATCATGTTGCGCGCACTATCTGTGCTGAGTGTGCTGACTTTTCGTACAATGTCCCACTGTCTGGCTTCCTGCATAAAGTCAAGTGCTCGGCGCAGTTGTGGCGAAATGTCGCTCCTCTGTTTTCATTTAAACAGCTCCTTATATCTGTTAGCGCAGCCAGCTAGCTAGCACCAGATGCTAACAACAACGCACGCAAGGTCTCTCTCGCTCGGCCACACATACACACCCTCCCGGTCCTCCAGATGGCCAGCCGGTGAGCGTGGATGTGTGGTCTGCCGCAAGCGGGCGGCAGGAGCGGGGCTGTCAGCATCAGCTTGTAGATGGTATTTTAAATTCGATGCGCTCTGAAACTACGGGGCGGCCAAGGAAAAAAAATACACATGCGTTAATCGCGTTAAAATAATTAGTGGCGTAAATCTTTTTTATTATCGGTCTTGAGAAGCAGGAAGTTATCGGTATCTGTTTTAAAAAAAAAAACAATATCGTGCATCCCTAATTTATATATTTATTTTTTCCCCTAATAGGCAAACCATTTCCTGCTTCTATGTGGTCAATGAGACTCAGACTGTTGCCTTCAGCGCTAAACCAAGAACCTATGAGCCCGCTGCAGAGATCGGCACCGGCCAGCTGATGGTGCAGATGAGGCTTTCCCAAGGCATGGTGGAATTTTACAACATCTTGTTCATGCATACAAAACACTGTTTTGCAGGTCTCCCTTGAAAAAGAGATCTATGATCTCAAGGGACCGATCTGATTAAATAAAGGTTTGACATGAAACTGTAAATGGCCAGGCTTCCTTTCTCTAACGGGGACTCTTCGCCTGCAGATCCATCCTACGAGCTCTTCTACCAAGCAGAGGATTATCCAGTGGTGAAATATCTGCAGCAGCCTCTGTATTTTGAGGTGGAGCTGATGCATTCTACCGACCCGCACTTGGAACTCATTGCTGAGAACTGTTGGGCAACCCTTTATGAAGATAGGATATCTCTGCCAAGCTGGGACGTCATTGTGGACAGGTAATGTTGTGCAAAACTAACTACTCATTTCATTTGTTTAACTGCTGCTTTATTAACTTTCAAATTCCTTCAATAGCTGTGAGAATCGCAATGACAGCTATGCAACAATTTTCCATCCCGTTGTGAGTGACTCCAGAGTTTTAGTCCCGTCCCACATCAAGCGCTTCTCTGTAAAGATGTTCACTTTCACTAAAGATGACAAGGTTCTGAAAGACCAGGTAAGACTTGTAATCCAAATCTGGAGTCTTTTAGCCACTGCTGCATGTAGCCATGTGTAAAATCATCCTGTCCGTCCACAGATCTATGTCCACTGTGATGCAGTGATTTGTGACACAAGCAGCCAGCAGATGGTTCCTGCAGAGGCCAGTGTGTGCATCCTCCAGGTCAGAGCTACTCAAGACCTGCATGGTGTAAAAAAGGGATAAGTGACCGAGTCTGAACAAATGTAGTCGATCTGGATGTGCAGTTGGTAATCTTTACTTGGTTTGCAGAGCGAAGAAGCACCGACTCAACACGCCAAAGGCAGATCTCCTCTGGGGCAATTATTCTGGCTAACCTTTGAATATTTTCTACAAGTGTCTACATTTTGTCATTTGCACCTTATGTAATTGTGTTCATTGTTTTGTTTGGGACGACCAGGGGAACAGTTTTATCAATGAAATGTACTGTACTGCCTTTTATATTGATGGATGACCATAACGACTCGTGTATTTAAAAAAAAAAATAAACGAAATAAAAAAAAAAAAAAAAAAAAGCCACATTTATTTATATGTCTCTTTATCAATGTATTGCATCTTCTGTGGTCAATTTTAAGGGACATATTAATAAAAGCAGGTTTCTGTGTCAACCAGTACCCTCATAATTTCAAGAAAATGCAGAGAAGCTCAACATATGTAGCAATGATATCCTATATCAATAAACACTAAAAAATGATAAGTTGATTTAGGCGCCTAAATGAAAGACTGTCGTCACTTACGCCTTTAGGGAACACAACAAACCTTAACAGAATTCACAGCCAATGGAGCAAGACAACCCTCAAATACTTGAAAATGCTCACTCGGAGTTTAAAAACTAGAACTTCAAATGTGCAGAACAACTGTATACAAAGTGATCTCCTACTTACAGTGCAGGTACTCTTTGTTCAATTGGTTGGCGATGTCTGTACTAGTGTTGCAGCGTATTCTGCTACCCCGTCAAATTCTGTGTCCCAGGTTAAAGCTAACGTCCATCGTGTTCTGTCACTTTGTCATTTCATTACATGTATTGTTTTAGAGACGTTCAACGTTGTCATATTTACACAGGGATGTAAAGCCAGTCATTTGGCCACTGCTTACAACAACCGCGGACAGATAAAGTACCTCCGGGTGGATTTAGGTGGAGGACTTCTCTTTAGCGATACAGAGTGACAGCAGCTTATGAGACACCTTTCTACAACAGAGAACTCATCCACTATAGACTAGGTAAGGGTACAGAGACCCCTTTAGTCCAAAGTTCACAAGTTCTGTTATTTTCAAGCCTGACAGCGTAGTTTTAGATTAATATAAAACTAACAAATAAAACATTTTTTTTGTTGTTGCAATAGCTTCCATATGTGACCCTATTGACCCCAAATTAATGCAGCATTGTACAACATAACTAGACGAGGATACACACCTTTGTACATTTAAATTGCCTTTTCTATTTGATATGAATATTGTCATGACAACTATGCAGTTTTTTAATTGGCTGACAATGTTATATGCTTCAATATCATATTTGTTCAGTGTAGGATTAATAGCAGAGGCCTGTACTACGAAGCAGGGTTTTCGCTTAGCCGGCTAACTTCAGGGAAAACTCAGGGTTTCCGGTCCTACGATGCTGGTTCTCTTTTTAGCAGGCTAGATCTCCATGTAACTTATGCTGAGCGGCTAACCTGGGGGGTATACTACGAAGCAGGATTTTCGTTTAGGCAAGATAACTTCTTTGGGATTTCCGGTACTACGAAGCTGGTTCACTTTTTAGCGGGCTAGATCTCCATGGAGACTTATCCTGGAACCTAGTCTGTGCTCCAAAGCAGGATAGGTTCCAGGATAAGAGATCAAACTCAGCGAAAGCACCACGCCTGCTGCCAATCAGAGCTCAGTGTGTGGAGGAAATACAGTTTAAACTGCCGTTGCAGGAAAGACGGCGGCCGCCAAAATCACGACTGTGTGAACGTGAAAATGAATAGGACATCACCTCCCATCTTCAGAGCAGTCTGACTATAACATACTATTATGTTAAGAAAGTTAATTAAATATTTGCCACAACATAAGTAACCGGATCAAAGTAACATTACGTTGCCTACAGTCCGCGGCACTGAGTGCAGACGTTGATGTGTCCCATTATCATTCATATCATCACATCATAATGTATCATTTCCTTATCTGAGTCAGCTGAGCCGTATCTGGCCGTGCAACACTCACAGTGTCACATACTGTATGCAGAAGTATTATTTTAAGCAACACATTAACCTGTTAAGCCCGAAGGTCCCCGCCGGCAGGATGCCAAAGCACCCCCTAAGCACCCCAATAAATGTGGTTTTTTTTTTTTTATTTTTTTTTTTTTTAATTAATTAAATCAGAAAAATTATTGATTACATCATGCAAATGTGAAACAATACATGTTTGAAAAACATAAAGCCAACACAGGTGATATGATTGGCCAATGGCCAGCACCCATTTGATTTTTGACCTACCCATACAGTAGGCTAATTACTTTGTGACACTTAAGTGACTTCCTGTTAGCTGGAGCCCCAAATGATTTGCTAACAGCAAAGTGATAAATGGATCGTTTTTTAGTCCTTAAACGTCCACGTGTGGACACTCAATCAAAACCACCTAAAAGCGAGAGGGATTCTGCACATAATAGGCCTCGTGAGTACAAGTAGCTTACTTCTGGTTCTGTTTCATTCAAGCTCTACTATGTGTGTGTGTTGTGTGGCACTAGCCATTTGTGTTCGTGCGCAAGCGAGCGAGAGAGAGAGCTCGCGCACCGGTGGGTATCACAGGAGATCGTTGTGGTTAGCATCTGGTGCTAGCTAGCCAAGCTAACGGATAAGGAGCTTTTTCAACAACAAGGTGGAGGGAGAAACTATCTCCTGTCAACTGAGAGTCTAAGATAACCTCAGCTCAGGTGAAGTAAAGGACTCAGTGTTTAGATAGTTAACTTTAGTCCTAGTTATCCTCAGTGGGTCTCAAACGGTGTGTTTTAAAAGGGGAGTGATTTGTAAATATCTATAAAGAAATAGAAAATCTGTTTACAGTTCTGTTACATATGTATGTTGAGAGATACTGTATATCCATAGATCTCTTCATTTTGGCTCTCAAAGTGCACCAGATTGATGCTTTTAACTTCAATATTTAAAAACAAATCTTCCCGGGGGAGCTTGCCCGGACCCCACTAGAGGAGGTGAGGTCCACTCCCCACTTGTAAAAATAGCACATTACCCACACCTATATGCCGTGAGCTGATTACCGAGCCTTCATTGTAACAGTCGCGGGTACACTGTGTGTGTGTGTGGGGGAGTGTTGCAGTAGAAAATTCAACTGTAGCGCTGGTGCATTAATGGGAAACCCTTAATGTTTGAGCACCCTCTATGAAACGTCAAGCTACCCCACAGCACCCCCTAGAGAAAATCTCTGGCGCCGCCACTGCTGCAAACTGTTGCCGTTGTGATTATAAGTTATTTAAGATGATCAAATGTGCATCAGACTTTCTGCCCTTTACCGTTTGTTTACTCACAAATCACATCTCCCCTGGATGTTAGGCTATTTATTTTTTAATACAACTGCTTTCATTGTGAGGCGATGTTTTACAGTGAAAACAGCTGCTGTGGTCAGTGCAGAAAGCAGAACAGTGTGTATAATATATATCGCTCAATAATACCAGGCCTACATTTCACACTTTATTTGTAGGCTTTTAGGAGATATCTACAAATAAACAATAGATATTTTTCATGAAACCATATAGTGCTTCACATAATAAAATATACAAGGGCTGTAGCCTGATATTTATTATATGCTTTAGGAGCTGTTTGTGTTTGTTCGCGAGCGATAACCATGCAAAAACCCACGTGAGCTGGGCTCGCGCGGCCTATCAGCCGTCATAATTTCCGAACCTTTTCTGGTGCTTTTTGCCGGTCGTTTTCCCTGTTTTTGGGTGTGTTTCGGAGGTTTGTTTCAATAGGGTCTTCCCCGACCTCTGGTCTCAGACCCTAATAATAATAGCAATAATAAGTGGGAGGGGGGGGTTGAGGCTGTGATTATGATTTCCTTGCTCTCACCAAGGTCGGCTCTAGAACAATCGAATGGGGGGGCAATCATTTACAAAGGGGGGGCACACACTGCCGTCAACAACCAACACACAAACACCAACGCAACTTCAAAAAACATGCTGTAAAGCAGAGACGTGCACACATAGACTCTAGGTAGTGCTTGAGCACCTGCCCGTTTTGCCCTCTTGACAGCAATGTGCCAATATATACAACAATGCCCCAAATGCGCGTTGTAATTTTGTCAGACATCCCCACACGTGCCCCGCGGCACTCCCGTACGTGCTCTGGCTGCAACCCCTCCCTTCCCTGCTCTCAAAGTAAACGCGCAGCGCGCAGAGCTGACAGTCAGTCAGTCAGACAGGCCACGGCGGGTGTGTGGTGCAGCAGCACGCAGCAACACGATTAAAAGTGCCCTAGTGACGACCAAGTAAATAACCACCAGGTAACAAATACAATGAGTGTATTGTTTAATCCCCTAAATCAGATGCCAAACTAAACTATACAGGGTTCGTACGGTCATTGAAAACCTGGAAAAGTCATGGAAATTCAAAATGCAAATTCCAGGCCCTGGAAAAGTTATGGAAAACAATATTTTCCCAAAGTTTTGGAAAAGTCATGGAAATGTAGCCTAACTCAAGTTGCGTCAAATATAATTTACATTTTATCTAATCGCCGAAATAATCTGCAGGTCGCGAGCTGTTATGTGCCATCATGACGCGCATGGTGTTATTTTTTAATATATGAAGCGCGAGCTGTGTGCTCGAGTCTTCTTGCCTGTCGGGCCGGCTGAACTCTGCTGCTCCGGGATGAGGGTCAGCTACATTATCTACGGTGTGTTCGTTAACTGTGCGAGTCACTGTGGCACAGACTGAGCCGCTGGTGAACAGCTGTTAGAACGGGCCGTTCAGGTGTTCAGAGCAGAGCGGCAGTGCGTGATGTGAACTGAACAGTTTTTCTGTCGCAATATCATTGTCACTATCTGCTAACGTTAGCTTTAGCCTTCGTTTTCTAATAGTTTTTTTCATAGGCTATAAACAGAGGTGGTATAAGTATAGAGATTGTAGGCTACTAGAGTAAAAGTAGAAGTATACTCAGATCTTGTAGCCTACTTTAGTAGAAGTACTCAGATCTTGTACTTAATAAAA